CATGGCTGGCTGGGGAATTCTGGGAGTTGAAGTCCGCTCATCTTAAAGTGGCCGAGTTTGGACAACACTGCCTTAACGGCTACACCAAACTGGCTCTCATACTGTATATTATCATCATTCATTCATTCGTTCATTCATTCATTCATTCATTCATTCATTCATTTCAATGTGTATGGCCACCCATCTCAACATCATCACTAATTATCTCAGTACAATATAAAAATGCACCCTGAAAATAAGAGCTGACTCTGATCAGATTAATCAGAATCTCCCCCATTCTGTTGATCCAGGTCATATAATAACAGTGTTAATTTTTTACCAATGACCTGAGACTGATAATCAAGTAACTGTTAATGTAGGAAAAATCATGGGACTTCTTTGGAAGAGAAGCAATATAGAAATAGAAATAATCATTTCAAAATGAGATATAATCTTGAAATAATAAAGTAGTACTATCAGTGGATCTAGGGCTAAATTGTACCCTTTCATTTTTTTATTTCATTTGAGATTGTGATTAATAATACACAGTTTTAAGCAAGACCAGAAAAGATATCCATGTTTGCATATTATTGGCTTCAGAACAAATCTGAAAAGTGTTAAAGACCACCTACAAATAATCATTTAAAAGCTTTCTTTAAAACTAATGCAGAGAATTACTCGAAGTATGTGATTCCAGATTCACTTCTATTTTTTTAACGGTATTTCTTTAAAGAAATCTCCCCTTTCAGTTTTAATTATTAGTCTTACATATGGCTAAATACCCTATTTTGATCTGTTAAACAGTAACAGAGCTTTAAAACGAAAACATCACACACACACACACACACACACAGGCAATGTAATAATAAAATGGCTTACTGGCAAACATTGAAAAAAATGGAAGATGGGCTTACTATATTTCTTGTTTAATGTGGTGGTAAATTTTGGTTAATGTACTTTTCCACATACCCTAGTTTCTATAAATCCAGTCTATTCCTAGAGTCTCATATGTGTTTTATCTATTTCTTCTTTATCCTTCATAGCAAGGAGATGTAATACACCTGGGGTTTCCTTCAAGAAACTAAATTGCTAGTAGTAATGTTTGTTAATCAGCTGCATATTCACCTTATGCTGTGGTGCAGTGTTTCTCAACCTCAGCAGCTTTAAGATGTGTGGACTTCAACTCCCAGAACTCCCAGAACTCCCCAGCCAGCATCTTAAAGTTGCTGAGGTTGAGAAACACTGCTCTAGCTTATTGATCACAACCCGGGATAGAGGCCATGCGTGTTACAGGAGAGAAGGACTGTATTCAGAGATCTACTTTGCCTTCTACTACAACCATCGGGGCAAAGTAGAAGCACATAGAGAGAGAGCACATGTTAGAATTAAGGATTAAGGTTAGTTCAGAGCATGGGGATGAATAAACCTGTCCGTTTCAGTTTCTCCCAATTTACAGTCTTAAATTTGTTCCCTCGGGTACAGTTTAAAAGTCAAGGAAAAAATATATATGAATGTTCATGCACATTTTTCAAACATGTACAAATAGTTTAGTGCAATAAGTGTGTTTTTGGCAGCAGTTGTCTTAAACATAGTGCTTTGAACCTGTTTTCCCTCTAGATATATGCATTTTTATGTACATTTTTTGTTCAGAGAGCTACATTTTAAGAAGTATGAATGCCAAGGGATAACTGCATTCTTGTTTACATACTGATTCCAGAAATGCAAATATAGTAAGAGCCTGACAGAATTCTCCCCCATCCATTCAACACAGAGTTCAAAGAATAGCTTTGCTTTCAGTATCAGAGCTGGATGCTCTATTACAGATCTCATGGTAATTTGGAACAGCAGAACTACACCAGCTTTAAGGTGTGTGGACTTCAACTCCCAGAATTCCCCAGCCAGCATGGGGAATTCTGGGAATTGAAGTC